TTCCGGAGATGTGAATCGTGCGTGTTCGTATCAAAACAGGATGATATACAACATCCAAACTCACAATAGGTCGCTAAATCGACGGCCAGTGTACCCTACCGATACATTCCCCCAACTGGGCCTGTCTTCTATTTTCTTCCTCGATATAATGCGACATTTTCTGGCCATTACGGCGCACCTCGCTAAAATCTCTGTTTTGGTATCCTTTCGCTTCGGAAATGATTGCTCATTTCGCGAAATGCAGGTCATATCCGAGCCACTTCCTCGCAACAACCTGCTCGGCACTCAAGCCTGGCTTGCCGTAAGTCAATGGTAGGAAGTACCACCACCCACCGATCACAATCGCCATCACAATCCCACTGGCAGCCCAAAGCGCCAGCATACTCTGTCCACTTATGCGCTCCTTGGCTGGAACGACGACCCTCTTGCCTCCACGATCCTTGTTTTTGCTAGGAGTCTTATTTTGCGTTTGTTGTAGGAAATTCTCGTCCAGGCCAACAGGATCAAGGTTGAAGACGAATTCGAGGAGTGCGCCAGTGACTAAAGCGGAGGCGAGATGTGCGGGCAAGTAGTGGTGAAGGAAGAGTTGGCGGCCCATGATGAAGAAGGGGATGTAGTGGGCGGCCCAGCAGAGGAAGAAGAAACCGGTGCTGTTGTAAAGACGAGAGCGGGTTCCTGAAAGATAAAACGTGGTCAACCGAGGTAATAAACGGACTAAAAGTTAGTGCATGGAGACTGGCTTACGTTCATCAAGGCTGTCAATGCCACGCCTTTGAGACAATTGGTCTGCGCCGATGATTCCTGCGAAGACGGCAAGCAGACTGCTTACGATCCACCAGCCGATGGGATTGCCAAGGAAGTATATTTGCTGTCTTGTATCATTCTGTGTCCAGAAGCTCACACCGCGGAGCAGGAATGGCCATTGAATTGGCTGACTGGCATAAGGATGGCTACTTGTCAATGCATTGTTGTGGTAGAAAATAGCTCGTTGGAGTTCGATGTACTTCTTCAAGAAAGATACGTGCTTGATCTTCTTGGCCTCCTTAACAAGGCGCGGGCTGTCAGCCGGTATGGATGGTATCTCGTCCACATACCAGATATTGCTAGATTGCTGAATGTTCTTGTTTCCGTTGATCTCGGCCTGTTTGTAAGCCCAGTCAGGAAGTGGAGTGGTGTGCGTCCACATAGCAACTCTTGTGGGGGCGTGAATTAACTTGAAGTGCCCTGAAAAGCTTTTGAGCTGTTGCCTTCCCTTGGCATTCTCGATCTTAATTTCGAACAGGGTATCGTTGTACCGATCCCCGTTTGTCTCCTCGAGCCCTGCTGTTGTAAATTCCTGGTTTGTGGGGTAAAATGGCGAGGCAACATCGTGTGATAGGAGGTAACTGTCCGTCACTAGATGCCGCAATTTGACAAAATCGCCGCTTTGCACAGCCAAACCGGGCTTTGCAAGTGAGAGATCGACAACGCTGTTCGGAACAATTTGCCAGTAGTTGTTGGTATCATTGAACGGGTAGCCTGTAACCTGTTGTCCTTGGCTGGAAACACGTCCGTCATCGTAGCGAAGGGGGTACCTATCGGCATGACTGTGTAGATAGGTCTTCGTCTCCTTGTGCCTAATAGATATCGAATCATAGTACTCGATGCCAGTAGACTGTGCGCTCATCATGTTGTCGCTCAATGTCTCTTGGAACGCAGGTGTCATGAATTCATCTCCAGGTCCGGATCTGTTCAAAATGGCGAAGTGAACTTGGAACCAGAACAAGTAGATGAGGAAAGGCACCAGGATGAGTCCAGTCAACCGTGCAGAAAAGTGCTTTGCGAAGTCGGGCAGAGTCAAAGCTCCACCTTTCCGGTTGATGTCCAGGAGACCCCAGAGGTCAATCGCAACCGCACAACCGACGGTGAAGAATGTAAACACTCCAACGTATTTGGTGGATATAACACAGCTCATAGCGACGCCAGTAAGCAGGAGCCATTTCCACCATTTTTGCGAGAAGGGCTCGTGCCTCATCTTGAAGAATCGGATGTAGCAAAGAACACTGAGCGACATTGCGAATACCAAAGTCGCATCGAGCAGTATAAGTCGAGTCTGGCCAATGTGGGCATTATCGAATAGAACTAGTCCTGCTGCCACAATGGCAGCTGGAAGTGTGTAGCCTGATTCCCACATGATCAAGAAAACTGTAGGAACTGTCAAGGATCCGAGAAGTGCTGGCAGGGCGCGGAAGGCGACGTAGGGTACTTTGTTGGTAATGTACGAATCGCCAATATTGTCAAAGTGGAAATGCCCATCGTATCCAACGAACCAGCCCATAAGGGCAAAGAGAAGCTTTCCGAAGGGAGGATGGACGTCGAAAAAGTAGGTTCTTTGTAAGTAGTATGAGGCGAACTACCAATGGGCATAGTCAGCGTACTTTATCCAAAGCGTGCAGTATGGCGACTTCGCATAGTAGCTTGAGAGAGTGGTCTCGGGGGAATGATGCAGCTTTTCATACCTTTCCAAAATGCACCTCATCGAAGACCACCTCATTGGGATGCCCAATGCCCCAGAATCGAGTAATGAAAGCCAGTAGCGTTATCACGCCCAGTGCAAGCTTATAGTCCCATTCGGAGGTCACCACTTCGGGCAGCTTTGTGTCTTTCAGTATCCCATTCAGATCGCTGTCTTGTTTTGGAGGAGTTGAAGCGGAAGATGGGGCTTTCTTGTCCTTTTGCCCTCGTTGTCGCACAGTAGGGGATGACATTATGGAGGTAAAGACCGACTCTAGAGGTGCCATTGTTAGAGGAGAGCTTCAAGGAGGGACATGAGGCTTCGAGTAGGAAAATGTCAAGAGGATACTTACAGCACTGAATTCTCCTGTGCAACACAATATTGACTGGTGTACTCAAGAGGTACAAAGCCTTCTCAACGAAGCATGCAAGTTGAGCTCATTTGAGTGAATTCGTGTCCCTTAGACAAGACAGCTTTTTTAGCATTACCTTACGCCGCAACATGTTGGCCAAGACTTTCGGGGTCGCCCTGTAAGGCTGACTGATACCCCTTTACCTTCCCTCGTACATGAGATGATGAGCTACGAGTTAGGAGCTACCTTATAGAATTGTCCATGGTTCTCCGGTTGCATTGTTGTCGAGAATTCAACAATTGGCTGTCCCTAATGGCATCTGCTGAAGTCTCCATGCTATCTAGGTTTTGCGAAGAAATTGGTCCATTCGTATTATAGAAATCTTTAATTTCATTGCGAAATTTCCTGCAAAGCTTCAGTCATCCTCTTCCATCATACTCAACGTCTCGAGCTCGATTCGCACCATCCGGTCAAAATCGGACCTCTCCATCCCACTGCTTCTGCACAGCCGGAACAGACTTTTGACGCTTGTGCTGACGTGCTGCTTGACAGCCACCTCAGCAATCGACTGAGACTCCGCTGATTCCTCCAGTCTTGACACTGCGGCTGGGCCGGCTGATGGTGATGCCGTAGGTTGACTGATACCCTCATCCGCGGAAGATAAAGCGTACGTGTCTTGAGGAGGACCTTTGTCGAGTTCTGATGCATTGCGCATGGAAGATGCCATAACATCGCCATTCAAGGTAGACCCTCCTATTGCTCCGCGATCTCCGGAAGGGTCGTCATTGTCCATCTCCGGCTGCACTTGAGCATATCGATCGAAGTACTCGGCGTCCGATGTAGTCCTCATGTGCTTTGTCGGATTTGACAGAGCAGACTGCGATCTTTGCGTTCCAGGAGTTTTGTCATACTGAGCCCAGTAGTCATCATCATCTTCATCATCGTCTTCTTGCTGATCCTCAATGCCAATGTTGTCGTTGTCCATTCCGTGCATAGCCGAAGTATCCTCGCCTTGTCGTATTGCTTCTTCCATCATATTCTCTTTAGCCTTCTCATCTGCTTCGGCCATAGTAGGACACCAGTTACTAGCAGCCATTTCCGTGTCTCCCTTTATCGGCCTGACCTCGGACACACGCCAGCCACTCCCGCCGCCTTCTTGATCTCCTTCGCACCAAAGATATATGATGATCAGCCCTAAGTCTGTGACTATCACCTTTGCCTGGAGCGTTTCTTCGTCCAATCGCCTGTAGCTGATGTCTTCCACATCACCAAAGTCGATCTCACCAGATACGGGGTGTAATTCAAACGCGTCGCTTTCTGACACTATGTCCACAAGCCTCTTCGCAGGCCCTGATTCCCAACATAGAAGAGGTAGCCATGAGTCGGATGCGGAGGATGAAGAGGCGGCGAGTAGCTGGACGCGTTGACGAAGTATGGGAGACAGGAGAGGCAGTAGGGCAGGAGGTGCTCGAGGAGAAACAAAAGCTGTGGGTAAGCAGGCGAGGAGAGGTGGGAGAAGACTCCGGTAGTCTGGAGGTGGGATGTACTGAACCATTGCGATATCGGAGAACTCGACGCTCGTTATGCTTTTGATGCTCGAGATAGGAAATTATATTCCTTGCTTAGATTGGGCACGGACGCATTTCAGACAGCTCCCCTTTGAATTCGTAGAAAGTTGAGAGTAGCTGATACTGTAGGAGAAGTCGCAGTCAGCTTGTGCGAAGAGAGACGAATCGACTAGACTCCCTTCATCCGAGCTGACATTTCCCCGGTATCTCGCGGGGCATTTGCTCTTCTCCTTCAAAGAGGAGCCAGCCATGACAGCGAATTGAGCTCCCTGCCCGGATGGCATTGCAAAGACGAGTATGTAGTGCTTATCCCTATGAACTTAGAAAAAGCCGTTAAATTCCTACCCCACTGCCATCATTTTGCATGTCGATGCACTACTCGGCAATCGCTTCTCGGACGTTCCCGGCGGGCGCTATGGGTATGGTGGCTTTGAGATTCCTTCTGGACTTGTCCATGCATTATGACGATGTATCTTAATGGTGGACATCATGCAGATTACGATTATAATTCCATTGCTTGAGTCCCGCCATTTTCTAAGATTGGACTCTCGGAGTCGGTCTAAAGACAGCAGCAACCCGCATCATCATGGCTGCCGAAACCGACTCGTTAGTATCCAGACAGCCCGCTGCCCCAGACATGGAGCAGACAAATGACTCTAGGGAAAATTCGGAGAAAACAAAAAAGCTACGTCTCAAGGTCGACTTCAGGCTATGCACTATCGCAGGTCTTTTATGTAGTCTCAATTTACTAGACAGCGGGATTATCTCTAGCGCATCGGTCACGAGCATGTTGAAGGACCTCGGACTCGATCAAGGCAATCGTTACTCCGTTTCAATCCTAATCTTTACGGTGGCAAGTGTGTGTTTCCAGCTTCCCGCTACATTGGCCATACGTATAGTAGGACCTCGAATCTTCTTCACTGTCATCACTTTCGCCTTCGGCTTGATCACCCTCTGCACGGCCTTCATCCATACGTGGAAGGAGATGATTGTAATGCGAGTTCTCCTGGGTATGTTTATGAGTGGTATCTATCCGGGGCTGGCGTTGCTCATATCAAGCTGGTATCGAAGAGAGGAGCTCCAGCTTCGGTTTGCGTTCCTGCAGTGTGGCGAAGTGATTGTCCTAGCTACCGGAGGGATTGTGAATTTTGGCTTGAATACCCTCGATGGCCGAGGTGGTGTCAAGGGCTGGCAGTGGATGTTCATCGTCCAGGGTCTTGTGGCTTGCCTCATTGGTATAGCAACGTACTGGTGGATTGTAGACTTTCCCGAAAAGGCCCAAGAAAGTTTCAACTTTCTGGACGAGGCAGAGACTAAGATTGCTGTCGCACGGATCCAGCAAGATCGCGGAGATGTTGTGCCGACTCCGTTTTCGTGGCTCGAAGTCTTGAAGCACTTTCTTGATGTGAAGATATATGGATTCGCGGCAGCGTTCTTTCTTCTCAACTTGGTCTCCACAGCTTTATCATACTTCTTGCCCATAATCCTTCAGAGTGGTATGGGCTTCTCGACGAACAAGGCAATCTTGCTGTCGGCGCCACCGTATTACTATGCGGTCATTCCAGTACTGATATCGTCTTGGATCGGCGACAAGTATTGTCTTAGAGGGCTGGTCATAACATTCAACTCGCTATGCTTGATTGCAGGCTTCGGAATGCTTGGCTTCGCCGACCAAGTGACTGTCAGATATGTCGGTACCTACCTTGCCACTGGAGCATATATATCGAATTGGGCAGCTTTGAACAGTTATCAAGCCAGCAATATCACTGGTCAGTGGAAGCGGGCAGTGACGGCAGCAGCGGTAACCGCTTGCAATGGACTCGGAGGTGTTGCTGGGAGCTTCATTGTCCGGCAGACTGAAGCTCCACGTTACCCAACGGCAGTTTGGGTGTCAATCGGCTCTCATATCCTCATTATCAGTATTGTCATCGCATTCTCGGTGTACTTCTACAGTGCCAACAGCAAGCAAAGAAAGGGTAAGAAAACGATTGAAAGGACTGAGGGTTTCCGATATACCTATTAAGAAAGGCTTGAATGTCAAGAGATGAGACAGAGGGAGTAGCAAGTAATCACGAACAGAAGCAGACCATGAGCATTACTAGTCGTGTTCATGACCAAATCTGACTTTCACCCTTCAGTATCGTGGTCAGTAACTACACCGAGAAGCCCAATGCTTGATATCAACTTAAAATTTCATCAATAGATACTAGTCCTAATTTCAGAAGTGTAAAGGGACTGGCATAGTCGAGATGAAATGCAAACCATTCTAGATACCCCAAGAAAGCTTTGAATGACGACAAATCGCTACGTGAATGCACACAACTGGATCTCCAATCTTTGATTCTATGTATACGAAAACTTAGCGACGGGGTTTAGAATAGAAATGGCTACTGGCTGTGGATGACTAGTCTAATAAAGATTCCATTGGTATTGATGGTCATGAGAATTCGCCAAAGGACAGATTTTCATACGGACAGCACACAAAATAGGGTAATGCTAGATGAGCCCATTCTTACCTCATGTCAGGCATAACGCCCCTAGCACTTGCGCCAGCCTAATCTTCTGAAACAGAATGTTTCAAAGATCCTCACTGAAGCTTGCCAAGCAGAGAGAAGCAGACTGAGCGTCTTGCTCCAGCTTTGAAAACGGGTCACGCATCCGCCAATCAACGAGCTCCCGAGCTTTGCAGATATGGTCTTCATCTCTATTTGTACAGCGCTGTACGACTATGCTCCCCAAGGTGATAATGAACTCGCCATACAAGAGGGGGAAACAGTTTATATACTCGAGAAGAGCTCCGAGGATGATTGGTGGAAGGCAAAGAAAAGGGCGCCGAGTGAAGACGAGGATGAGCCTGTGGGCTTGATACCGAACAACTACGTTACAGAGGTCAGTATTGTTGGCTGATCGTTCAGAAGCTTGTTATCTACGAAGGCAGACTTCATGTCTTCGTACGTCTTGAACAGCATTTGGAATGGAGTGCTGACAGCTGCCGCGTAGGCTCAACCCACCCACCATGCTAAAGCATTATACGATTACAGTCGGCAAACCGACGAGGAACTCTCTTTTACCGAAGAAGCCGTTCTCTCTGTCTACGATACATCTGATCCAGACTGGACCCTTGTGGGGCTGGATGGCGAATATGGCTTTGCCCCTTCCAACTACATCGATATCACTGGCAAAGCAGAGCAAAGGTCACCGCAAGCAGCATTCTCACCACAGACCTCGGAGAGAGAAGTGGAGCCAGAACAGCCATCGAGCCCACTCTCTACAGCTCGTACTGGCCCAGCAGCTGCCATGGCAGGCATCATGCACCAAAGGTCATCTTCCACGGATACGCCACCAGCCAACATAAGTCTACCACCTCGAAGGCCGCAGTTCACCCCCGAAGATTCGGATGAAGAGCCTCCCGCGCCATCATTACCTCAACGCCCACCTTCCCAACAGCTCTCGCCGCCTCCCCCACCGTACGCTTCCCCTAGAAGCCCAGATTCTCCAGGGATTGCAGCTTCCCCGCCCTTCAACCGCGCCGTGAGCCGAAGCTACGATGAGGATCAGCCGCAGGTCAACAATGGGGGATTCCATCTTTACAACATCAATGAGATGGTGTCTGCTATGGGCAAGAACAAGAAGATGCCGACCACGCTGGGTCTGAATCTGGCTACAGGCGTCATCATGATCGCTCCAGAAAAATCACGGGATGGGCCTCAGCTGGAGTGGACCGCGGAGAAGCTTACCCATTACTCTATCGAGGGCAAACATGTTTTCATGGAATTAGTGCGACCGAGCAAGAGCATTGACTTCCATGCCGGTGCGAAAGATACAGCTCAAGAGATTACTAGGGGCCTTGGAGAAATAGCAGGCGCTTCTAGGGCGGAAGGTCTTCGAGAGGTTCTCGAAGCCAGTAATGGATCTGGAGGTGGACAAAAGAAGGGCCATGTACTCTACGATTTCATGGCCCAGGGCGAGGACGAAGTCACAGTTGCGGTTGGTGACGAAGTAGTTGTTGTGGATGATACCAAGAGCGAGGAATGGTGGATGGTTCGGAGGCTGAAGAATGGAAAGGAAGGTGTGGTACCGAGTACTTACGTGGAGGTGACGGGTATAGTGGCTCCACCTCGGACCAGCTCTGGGATCAATGCTGGCAAATCTGTCGTGGAGCAGAACAGACTAGATGAAGAGAGAATGGTAAAGGAGGCTGTGAAAGCTTCGAAAAACGAAGCCAAGGCTGCCGAGCGGAGCAAGAAGGAAAGCAAGCATGGCAGGTCTTCCTCGTCGTCCAAGTCCAAGCCCGATATGGCAAAGACGCGGACCTGGACTGATCGATCTGCCACTTTCAAAGTCGAAGCGCAGTTCATCGGCTTAAAGGATGGGAAAATACACTTGCACAAGCTTAACGGGGTCAAGATTGCAGTTCCTGTGGTCAAAATGGCAATCGAAGATCTCGAATATGTCGAGAAAATGACTGGTGTATCTCTGGATGATGACAAGCCACTTTCCGATATCAAACGCAGGAGCACGCAAACCACAAAGGGCAATGATCGCAAGAAATCAGAATCTGCAGCAAGCGCCGCAAAGCCGGGAGCAACGGTTGAGCCGTCCAAAGCCAAGCCCGATGGGCCTGAATATGACTGGTTCGACTTCTTTCTAAAAGCCGGAGTTAGCCCCTATCAGTGCGAGAGGTACGCCTTCAACTTCAACAAGGATTCAATGGACGAGAATGTTCTCGGGGAAATCACGCCATCTGTGTTGCGGACGCTTGGTCTTAAAGAAGGGGACATACTTCGGGTGATGAAGTATTTGGACACCAAATTTGGTCGCACAGGTATGTTTTTGATCTGGTCTTCTACACCATATGCTGTTGCTGCAAAGTTGACATAGGAGAAGGTGCACAAGCTCCAGAAGGTGAAAGTGGAGGCCTCTTTTCAGGGCCTGGCGGCGCTCTCAGGAACAATACCCGCAAAGGACGCCCAGCCCCAACGGTGCAAAGCAATGACGTTGTCGATGCCAATACATTTAGACAGAAAGAAAATGATGAAGAGAAAGCAAAGCCTAGATCGGAGGCTGTCCCGATACCATCAGAAACGGCGCCGCCACCGCCAAAAAAAGACACTCGCGGTTTTGACGACGATGCATGGGATGTCAAGCCTTCCAAGACACCCACACAGCATCCTAGCCAGCAACCCGCTGCAGCGCCTACGCTAGCGCCGAGTGCCCCCCCACAGCAGCCTACATTGACGGGCTCATTACTAGACCTTTCTCTGCTATCACCACCTCTGCAACCCACACCAGCCCAGAACATTTCAGTCCAGAAGCCTCTGCAGCCTCAGTCCACGCAAACCCAACTACCTGCACAGGTCCCGCCACCGCAACCTGTACAGCAACAGCCTACTGGAGCGAACCCACAGTTTTTTTCGCAGCTGGGACAGCAGCCTTCAGGCTTGCCATTGCAGCAGCAAAACACAGCTCAAATGCAGCAGCCTCAGGGATTTGGTCTCCAACAAAGCTTTCAAAATCAGCAACCGCAGCAGACTGGCCCGCCGCGACAAAGGCCGCAAGCACCTCAGATCAATCAGCAAGGCTCAATCATGCCGCCGCCACCTGCCAGACCTCTATCAGCACCTCAGACCCAACCGCAAACTAGTAGTTTCGGTCCTCCCCCGTTGCAACCCCAGCTGACAGGTTTTCAACCGCAAAGTCAGTTTGGGAACCAGATCGCACCACCAGGTCAAAGTCTCAATGACCTGAATCTGCAAAGGCTACAGCAACAGCAATTCAACCAGCAGCAGCAGTTTGGCCAGCAGCAACTACAGCCACAGCAGACAGGCTTCGGGCAACAGAATCCAGGTTTCAGTCAGTTTGGTAATGGCATAATGCCCCAGCAGACTGCATTTGGACAACAATACCAAATGGTACCTCGGCCATCGGAACTACAAGGAATGCAGAATCCTTATATCAACGGCCAGCAGACAGGAAGTCCGTTCGCCGATCCTCGAGGACAGCAGCAAGGCGGAGGCTTTCAGCCATTGCAGCCCCAGAACACCGGGTATCAGGCGCAATTCCAGTCATCTCTCCAACCTCAGCAAACTGGTATCAATTCAGTGTTACCCCCAGCATTGCAGCCTCAACAGACAGGCGTCAATGGGTTTTCCAGGCCTAGCTTCGGCCAAGCACCTCCGCCAATGCTTCCAATGCCATCGATGCCCTCTCAGCCTGCCGCCGCTCCACTGCTGCCGCAAAAGACCGGTCCGGCGCCCCCAGTCAGGTTTGGAACCCCAGCAGCGAACAAATTGGTGCCTCAGCGGACAGGGCGGGCAAATCTGGCCTCAGCCAGTGAGTAATTCATATCTCCATGTTAGTACTTCAGGACTAATCGGTATTCTAGCACCTTCTAACCCCTTTGGTTTCTGAGAAATTCGCATCCTTTGTTCAGTAATGCTTGTGGAGGACGAGAAGAATCCGCAGAGTTGGACTAATGAGAGGGAATAGCGCCAGGCATGTGTAGATATCAGTAATACTCCTTCGTGTACCAAAGCATTAGCATCTTGGGGGCGACAGCGTCTCTATATTATTTCCATTGCCTTTGTGACTCCCAATAATGTCGCTTGATTGAAGGCAGTCATGCAGCCACAGAACATGACAGTCGAAGTAGGGTGAATCTATAGACGGGGAACTCATTGAGCTTCGCAAAGTGAAAGGTGTTGAATGTTCTGTTTGAAGATGGTTCCTAGGGTGTACGGTAACAGCTTCGGAGGCTGTTTCCACTCGTAAGTTTCGGACGGTGCAGGTGCAGCATCCAATGTTCGGCAAGTCTTGCCAAAAACAACTGCCGTTGACGCCACTTCTGCTTCACATGCTTACCAACTGGTTGGTAATCCACGACAAAACAACCTCACTGCTTTTGAATTACCTACTTTGATATACTCTACTTGCGCAGTCGAGGGTTATCACGATCCATCAATTGCCTGTCATCATTGGCTAATACTCCACAAGCTCGCGAGTACAGACCACTACTCCGTACATTCCTTACCAATATCTCTCTGTTGTCTGCTTCTGAGAGTCGGAAGAGAAGCTTCTAGCATTCCTTCGACCTGGTTCTTCCCTATAAACTCCTCTTTCCTCCTTCGAGCTCATGAAGTTGCTCATCTCATATTCCATCATCAGTGCCGTAGCAATCCTGTTCTACAGCAGCTCCTTTTGGTCTCAATTGACAAGTCTCCTACATCAGACCCCACTCGCTTCCTTCCTCTCTACAACCCAGAACCCTTCAAACGGGCCTTCGAGAAGGGCATCTTCTAATTCCACATCCTTCTTCGGGCTACCTCTCGTTCCACCCACCTTCTTCGCTCCGAACAAACCTACAAACATGACGGTACCACGGGCTATACGCCAGGCATTTCTGGCAATTGAGCAGTCGGAAGGTGCTGGAGCCCGCGTTCGACGTTCAATTGGTACACCGAAGTTACGAAACTTCTCCCCATTCCTAATGCTCGATCACTTCTCCGTTGCACCAGGTGCAGGTTTCCCAGATCATCCTCATCGTGGACAAGAGACTATCACATACTTGCTCAATGGAGCAGTGGATCATGAGGACTTTGCTGGAAATGCAGGTACGATTGAAGCCGGAGATCTCCAGTTCATGACAGCTGGACGTGGTATAATGCACGCCGAGATGCCAAGACAGAATCCTGACGGAAGCGCGAATGTGGGAATGCAACTTTGGGTCGACCTACCAGAGAAACTGAAGACATGCGAGCCTCGATACCGCGATCTCAGAGCAGCTGAGATTCCCACAATCAAGGTTGACGATGGCAATGTAACCATCAAAATCATTTCAGGCCAGTCCCACGGCACAGACAGTGTCCAAGAACTAGCCTACACGCCCGTCTGGATCTTCGATATCAAAATCGCCCCTGGCGGAAAAGTCACCCAACCCCTCCCGGTCGGCTGGAACGCCTTCGCCTACACCCTTGCCGGCTCCACCGCCTTTGGTGTCGGCAAAGATCAGACCACGGTTGGCCAGTACCACAATGTCGTTTTCGAGCAAAAAGGCGATTCTGTGTCCGCAGAGGTTGCGAAGGAAGCGAATGAGAATGGGCAGTTCATACTTGTTGCAGGGCTACCATTGGATCAGAAGGTCGTGCAGTATGGGCCGTTTGTCCTGAATACGCAGGAGGAGGTTTATCAGGCTATGCTTGATTATCAGAGTCATCAGAATGGCTTTGAGAGGGCAAAGGGATGGCAGAGCGAGATCGGGAAGAGCATGGTTCATTGAGGAGCTCGATGAAAAATGATGAGCTGGGGTGGTGGGGAAGCTGGTGTTCTTAAAGCAGGACATAGGGGGCACCAGGGGGTTTGGCTTCAGCTTCCAATGGAGCTTAGGGTTTTGTATATAGATTCAAATGGACCTTTTATGGCAAAAACTCCCATCAACTGACGATATGCTTCTGCAAATGCCAAACACTGATGCGCACATGAAGGGTTACGACCCTCGCTCTATTTATATTGCTTTAGTGTTACCCTCCAGCATGTCCGTTCTTACTGGCGTCTTTACTCCTCTTTCAATGCACAAGCACAACCGGTTTCCCCTTTTCCCACGCATCAAGGGCCTCCTTAATATTCGTCCAATACCTCAACTTGACCGCCTCCGCCTTTGCCATTTCAGTATCGTCACTCTGAAACGCCTCATCAAGTATCCCCTCACTCTCCACCATCCTCGCATCGTTCCTCGCCTTCATCCCTTCAAGCTCGCTCTCCTGCCCAGCGCCCTCGATCGCTTCCCGCACCTCCAGCACTTCCATCAGCAGATCCGGGTCCTCGACTTTCGCCGTCTCGTCCTCCGCCACGTCGATGCCGCGCAGCGATAGCAGGTACTGCGCTCGCGGCAAGGGATTCTGCAGCGTTCTGTACGCCTCGTTGATCAAGGCGGACGTCCCTTCGGCGCGCGCTTTGTCGGGACCGTGGTGCCGGTCCGGATGGGCGCGCGCTTGCAGTTGGAGGAACTCCTTTCGCAGCTGGCGGGGGTCGATGACGAAGGGGCCGCGTGGTGGGGCGCCTTGGGGGAGGGTGTTGGGAAATAGGTCGTAGTGTGAGAGGGGCTTGGCGGGCGCGGAGGGCGGAGCGTCCGAGGTGGAGGCGTGCCGTGCGGACAGCCTGCTGCGGGGGCGAGAGGATGGGTGTCGCTGTGGGGTTGTTGCTTGCGCTGGCAGGTGGGGATGGTGGGTGAGGGGGGAAGAGGTCATGGATATGTAGCGGTGGAAACTGAGGAAGAATCGTTTGCTGTTGAGGGTCGGAGACGGTCTTGACATTTTTGCTATACACTTTGAGTCTGTACAATATTTACTTGCAGAGATGGTCTGGAAATTGATCAGTCAGTGGTAAGTGAGTAGTAGCGGACTGTTCTCCGTTGAGACAAAAGTGTCTTGGCAGCAATCAAGATCGACCTCGGCCCAGCCCTATCAAACGGGGTTTCAAATAAGAGAAGCCACCTTCAACTTCCAACCATCTTACCGTTCTATTCATGTGGCAAGATGAAGCGCCGATTGATGTGGCTGGTGGCTGCCAGTCTAGCATACGGCAGTCCTCATGTCTTCAGCGTTACTGACGATTTGCTTGCATATCCTCAAGTGAGCCCTCCAGAAAGCCCGGAATAATTATGTCTCGCTGACATGCCGCAGTACGAAGTCATTTTCTCCGATACCTTCATCTCAGACACAGAAGCAGAGTCGCGGATAGTAGAAGCAGCTTCTCGATCCTCCTCCACAGCCCAAACCGCCTCCACCACCTCGGAAGATGCGACCCCCGAACCCGCCGCCGAGCTCTCTCAGAGACTGTCCGATCCTAATTCCCCAGAGCCAGACTCGGCTCAACCGTCCGATACATATGAGCGTATGATGCTTCACAACAAACCCTACCTCTGCTCCATACCGTCTGTTCCGCCTCCTTCCACGAACACCACCACCCAAGCCCGTGCAGCCTCCGAAGAGACTGCTGAGCTTGCGCGCGCCACTGATCGCGGTTACGATCTTCTGCGATCTATGTCTGGTAGCTGTCTCTACTTCATCAGCGGATGGTGGAGTTATTCGTTTTGCTATAATACGCATGTGAAACAATTCCACCAACTACCGCCGGGGAAAGGGACACCGATATTCCCCCCCGTGGAAGATCCTGCCACTCCGAGTTATGTGCTGGGCAAGTTCGGAGAGGTCAGGAATCGATTTGAGGATGTCGATGGGGTCGATGGTGGAAGGGATGCTGGACTGCCCCCGCAGGAAGGGGAGGAGGGAATGACGACCGAGATCCAAGCCAAGGGGACGAGCTCCTCGAGATATCTGAGTCAGAAATTATCAGGAGGTACTACCTGCGATCTAACGGGATCTCCGCGACGAGTGGAGATTCAATTCCACTGCCATCCGCAGAGCGTAGACCGCATTGGCTGGATTAAAGAGGTGTCTACGTGTAGTTACTTGATGGTCGTGTACACGCCGCGGCTGTGCAACGATGTGGCGTTCCTGCCGCCGAGGGAGGAGAAGGCGGAGGGCATCGTCTGTCGCGAAGTGGTCAAGGAAGAAGATGTCTCTGAATGGGAACGGAGAAAGAGAGGGGAAGCGGAGCGAAGACTTGTCGGCGAGACCGCCGCAACCGCCGAAGGAGGCGGCAGACCCATCGTCGGCGGCATCGAAGTCGGCGGCATCGAAGTCGGCGGCATGAAACTCGTCGGGCGCGAAGGCAACCGACTCGAAGCACCCCAGAACATGCAACCGGGGAGTCACGGGCATGGCATGCATGGCAATAACAAAGACAAAATGAATGTCATGGAGCTGATAAGCCAGGAACCGAGAGAGAAAGGAGGCAAGGTTAAAAAACTGAGCGACAAGGATTTGAAGAAACTGGGACTGGATCCGAGTGTGGTGGATGCGGCGAGGAGGGAGCTGGAGGAGATGGCCGAGGGGAAAGGGTGGCGGTTGGAAGTCTTTGAGGTGGATGGGGAGAGGGAGTTGAGAGGCGTGGTGGATAGTGACGAGGATGGAGAAGACATGGAAGGCTATGAGGATGGCGAGGATGGAGGGGAGTACGAGGGGGGAAGTCAGGAGGAGTATAAAGATGAATTGTAAACCATGTACAGATCACACCAGGCGCTCGAACTTCGATGATGCATTGAAGTCGTTTTTTCGGCACGATATTTGGAACGAGGTCCACGACGAGATTCTTCCCCCCTCGTTCCTCTATCCATGCAGCGGCCCGATCGATCAATCAATCAATCAATCAATACCTACCTCTCTCTAGAATAAGCACCCCTATCCCACTCAACGGAAGATAATCTACCAAGAGGCTCCTTCTTTGATCGGTATTCGGCAGACAGTGTCATTGTAGTGATCAGATCCATGCACGCAACGAGCCGGAGCCAGATAGGATCCGTCTTCTTACCTACACCGGTACTCTACCCTCTCTACCCGCACAACAATCTCCGAACCCTCCTCTCGAAGTCAGATCATGTTATTGATCCTGTCCGCCTTCGAGGTCCATCCTCACCCGGGCTATGCTATGCTATCCACGTTGCGTGTTTCCTATCCTATCCTTTCCTTTCTTTGGGAGCCTCGTGTTGGTATTTTCCTTCCTTCCTTCCTTCTTTTTCTTTTTTTTGGGAGGGGGGTGGGGGAAGGGTTTCTTGGAAAGGCGAAACGGAGCACAGGAAAGCAAGCACGGGTACTGTTGTAAAGCAGAACGGCTATAGCGTCATCGTGTTCGTCTCGAATAATCTCTATGGGTATCATCTACATCCTCTGCTTCCATCCACCAATCGGCCCCACTGGGCAGATCCGCCGTTCTGGATTCGACAGCTCTTGGGCCTTGTTGTATGCCTCGCTGGGGGACGCCAGGACGGCGGCCGTCTTATGCGAAAGGCATCGCTCATTCACCGGACGTGCGTTTCATACGAGCAGGACTGCGTTGACGCAGCCGTCCATCTCGCAGTTGTTCTTGATGTGGACGTCAGGACAGACTCGCTTGCGTTTTGACCCCTTTGAGAGAAATGGAACTTACGGTTATTTGAGCATATCTGCCCCATATCACTTTGCCGCCTGCTGTTACCATCCCTAGTTCACTGATGGTAGATGCGTTAGATACGACTCGTTCGTTATGGTGTGGGCATGGGAAGAGAGCATACCTGACATTACATTCGATTATTGTGCCTTTACTGAGTACGCCCAATTGTGTGTACATAGGATTTTGCGGATTCTGTGTTTCGCGTCAGCAACGTTGCAGGTATATTGATGGAAGGTGTTGGTCGATTACCTTCTTGACTGATATGATCGGGAGCTGAACGGTTACTATTGGCGTCCTCCGAGTCAGCAACCCTTTGCTTCTAATTAATGCAGCTGGGAATCCAATGTCGCTTTGGGATTTGAACGGCAGCAGAAAGGACTCCCGGTTGCCTGTAATTTGCAACTTACCTTTGAGCTCGGGATGTGTAACATGAGCCTTCTTGTATCGTAAACCCATCGGCCGTATGAATCTCTCGTACTTGACCACTCGACGGGTGAAGTCAGGTCCAACTACAAATGGACGATTAGTATGACCCATTTGCTGGAACATAGGCTTAGGCACGTACCAAATGTTGGCTTGGTGATCATTCGCTTCCTGTAGGTTCGAGGTCAGTAGCTTTCTCTCCAAGCGAATGCCGAGCCCCCAAGGCACAGCCGGGTTGTTTGTGAGAAGTCCAAAGACTCTTTGCCAGGGATGCCCCGGATCGCACTCACCATCCCTTCTTAGCGGTCTTCTTCCCCGTCTTCACCACTTTGAACATCTCCTCCTCCGATATCCCCTTCACCTTCGGTAACGGCACACTGAACTTCGCCGCCGAGTCTTTCCGCTTGTTCTTAATCGCACTCGACAATGCTTTCGCATTGCTAGGTTGACTCCGATCGAGTAGGTATTGAGGTAAAGGCGTAGAGGATGGCTCTTGGGGGCCTGCCGATTTGACATTGCTCTCCTCCTTCTGCCGGATCTGCTTCTTCATCTGTATCTTTTCATGGTGCCTCTTCTTCTGGTAGAGCTTCGCCCGTAGCCCGGTGAAGCTTTGTGAATCTTTTGCGACTTTGTGGGCCTCTCGGGCGGTGCGCTTTCGGACTCGTTCGTCATGGTCCAGTCTGTGAAGAGTGGTTAGTGGGGATGGAAAGAGGGTGTGGGGATTGCAGAGCTTACCTTTTTCCATGAAGCTTTGTATGCCGGTCGATGTAATCATTTTGAGGCATTGTGATGGCTCGTTAATGCGTGCAGTGGTATCAGACACAGATGTTTGACAGAAGGTTCAACTTTGGCGGGCAAGATGTGGAAAAATGATGTGCCACTGCGAAATCTTGGCGCTTCCCTAGCGTTGTCTGTAAGGCTGAGCGTAATTTTTGGCAAAATGGTGCGCCGAAATGTCCTAGAATTTACATGAATATCAGCCATCAATACCCAAGTGTTCAACAGTAGTCGAGAAGCGTCCTTGTTCCTGCTGCATTTGTCGATGTTTGAAGTATGTCTATTGTTTCGACTGCCACCTTTTCCGACACATTGCCTTGGATCGAGGCTACCTTTGTTTCTCGTAAACATTCAATCAACATGATTGACAGCGGAGTGAAAGGGACACTCGTGATCCCGCGAATTATAAGAACACTGGATTTCTGTGAGGGATCATTGGCGTACAGGCATTAACCAACGAGCAGCAGCGATATCTATGTTTCAGACCCTGATAAATAATAATATGGTACAGAGCATCGTGTAAATATCGTGCCCTATGAACAAGGGACCTCAATTCAATTGGCTGAGTAGCGCCTGCCGTGGCCTTCCTTGGCAGCATACTGCGTTTGCCCTTCCCCAAGGCTGAAGGCTCAACAAGGCTGTGCTGGTGGTGCAGTCAGACTTGGATCTCTTCCCTTTCTCTTCGCACCATCACCATCTCCTACTTAGCTTATGCTAAGTCGACTGCTTCTCTCCCCAATAAGTATAGTCTGAGGTTTGCTGGGTGAACATATTGCGTGTCTTGTTTGACGCTGTTCAATTTCCGTGTCCCCAACCATGGATCCTCTATCCGCGGTCGCCGGCTTCGCTGCCACCGCACATCTGTGTTTTACATTTATCGAAGCCTTCAGGGATCTTCCGAATGAGGTCAGCTGTCTCCAAACCGAGATTACTGAGCTTGAGAGAGCTATCCATCTTGTCCAGGCATCATTGTTCAATGCATCAATTTTACCATCATCTCGAGAGGATGTGACTAGACGACAGCTCATGAAGGATCTTAGCAGAGTCGACCGCTTTCTTCAGCATATTTTAACAAAAGCTGGTGAGCATATCGGAGGCGATCACTGGCGGCAATGGATAAGGAAGAAAGGCAACATTGAGAGGCTGAGAACACAACTGACATCGATCAAATACGACATCGCAACTGTAGACCTCCCTGAGAGCCGGCACTCTTTTGCGAGCGAGTTCACCGGGAGGTACAATCACCCAACAATCTCCATTCCGCCAGGATGTGGACCCTCGCTCGGTCTCTCCGGGTCCCCAGACGCATCAGATCCTTACCCTCAAGGCGAGTCGAGACGCTTTCTTGATATCTACTGGCAGGCGGAAGCCCGGGCTCGAGTACGAGGCATTTCAGCACAATTACAACCACGGCCGCAAAATACACTCTCCTCCCCAACAGCAGAGCAAAGGTGGCTGCCATATTCCAAGCAGGACTTACCAGCACACCGGTCATTGAAAAATTGCTGTCTGTTAGTCTTCAAAAGGATACGCGCATGCTATATCCTTATCTTTCTTGGCTTCCTTACAATCGTGGGTAGTCTAGTCCCGGCTTTGTGGCGTTCCATACGTCGCAACGACCTATCAGGCGGTTTTACGCTAGCGCAATATATCCTTGGGGTTGGTGCTTTGGTTGTCGGCTGTGCAGTTGCGATCCACAGCAAGACATGCACCTGCTGGTCTTCCTCTTGCCAACTTGTTCCCTACACCTCGGGCAGTGATTTAGAGCTTGAAGCCGTTGACGACATTGGGAACTTAGAACCATATGAGTTACCTGGCTGATGACCTGTGCCACTACTTGCTACAGTTTGTGAATGGAGTAAGGCATGGAACGGACGAAACACACACACGCTGGGAGCTATGACCCTTGGTGAACCGCACGAAATGGGAGACATGGGCCCTACGCTGTATATATTTCCAGCTTTCCTAGTCCACAGAGTCGGCTGATGGCGCATTTTTTAACTCCGGGGAGATCGCAATGTACATAGCTTCAGTACTTCGGCACATGCATAAAGTTGGGGGCCTATAGCACAACTCTGGAAGCATTGGGAATTTAATGAAACAAGCTGCAAGCAGAAAGGATCTCAATAGATTACAAGACTTACTGTGAACTCTGCTCAATCTTGCTCTGTCTTTCAATCACTGGGGGACTCCTCATGTAGCCAGTGGTCTTCGTTGAGCATTGCTTCCCGCCAATTCACGACAAGTGGAGATGTCGAAAGTCAAGACACCGATGTCAAACTTACAGCCACCGCAATGTGCCCTGAAAGTGATAGGAGTCCTCCAGTTTACAAAGACCCAATCAAAACTCATGGTGCCGAGAACAGAAGACGCGCCAAACAACGTGCTGCAAAGCCAGTCATGCAGCGGTGATTCAACAATGACATGCCCCCTGTGGCTTGATGACCTTTCTGCATGACTGGCGCTGAACAGACGTTCGAGATCCACATATCTTGCGCTTTCAAGCCTGGCAGTCCACAGGCAGCGGAACCCATGCCCGGGAGATGGGAGTATACAGAGGGTAGGCAGCTGGATCAAATTGGATGTCACAGCAACGTCTAGCGAAGAAGCGACCAATGGCTCTGTGGGGGGAAAGCGGCTGATGTTGTCGAAGTTCATGGGTCAGATGCATACAGCAACTTGAGTATGGCCAGATGCTCGCTTGCTTGCAACGGCAGGAGTACGAGGTAGAAAACAAGCGTAATGACGCAAACATTCTTGGGTATGCTTGTTCCCAGAATTGACCCCTCGTTGCGGGACTCGTACTTTCTGTCCATTGGAGTCGTAGTAACCTCCACCTTCTCCTTGTGGAGCTCAAAAGGATGTACCACTTCCCGCCACTCCATCTCCATTCTCTGAATAACACCTGTCGTTACTTCCGTTGGTCTTTGGACCTGCTCATCATTGACATGCTGGGGCAGCTGCATTGCTCTAGACATAGACTCAGCAGCATCAGAACATCAGAAGATCTTTCAGTCATTAGAGTGTCGGAATTGATGGGCTCCGCTCCTAAAACTACGTTGCGTACAAGGTTGCACTTGAAGCCTTTCTGCGTTCCACCATCCCGTAATGAGCGCTAAGGACATGCTCCGAGCTTCAAGAAAGGGCCACCTCCTCTCACACGGTCGACGGTAGCATCGTCGCCGCTGATTCTCCACTCAAGCACTTCTTCTTCTTCCTTTTCAACCCTCACACTCATGCGGAAGCCACTGATTTTGGCTCGTCAAGATGTACGCCTTCGCCATTGACAATACGATCCGTGTATTCCTCGAAAGACAAATCATCGAGCACTGTTGAACTCGTCCATTCATCCCTGTGATCTGCGTTCGTCCTTTCGCCGCTAATCCCCTCCACGCCTCTGGTCGACTGGTCACCTAAACACCATCCGCCTTTTTCTCTCAAATGGACACCACGTGCGCGCTCATCATTTCTTTTCCTTGCTTCAGGCACTTGAAGACACGGCTACTGTCCGGGCTTGGCGTACCGTAGGAATTGTTGGATGAGCGGAGTCCTTCTTCGAGCTGCACTGAGTAGCTCTGACGCTTGATCTTCTGGGAAAAGCACGGGTTTTCAATCCTAGAACTGCTCCATTTGAAGGTCTGCAGACTCGGATTTCCATGATGTTGACGAAATTCTTCTCCCGTCAGGCCTCTAGATCAAAGGATTTTTCGTCTAAACTCCCTGCAAAATCTGGAATTTTCAGCCCAGGAAAGCTCCGCTTGTTGCTTGATGAATCGTGCGATACGTATTCAGCGACTTCTATAGGCTTTCGATACAAAGCACTCGTCAAGTTTCTCCAATCACCGCTAACTACGAGCACTGTGCAGGCGCCTACTCACTCGCGTCCTGAAGGTTGGTGAAGATCATGGGTCTCTGGGGCTCCAAGTATGTATGATACACGGTCATACGGGCGTTTTCCCTAGCCAGGTTCAAGCTTTCCTGTGACAAGAAGTTCGTTGGTCCTATGCAATGCAATGCAATACTTCTTTTCCAAATCCTGTTCTGGGTTCTCGAACTCGAGTCAACACAAGTTCTTCTGCGTCTAGCAGCGATATGGCCCAGGACAACAACTCATCGAACGGCCTTTTACTGACCTTAACTTATGAGGCTGGATACTCGGGCCGCCATCAAAGTCCCTTTGGCAATGCAGTCATTTAACAGCGTGACCGCGAGGGATCTGTGAATCTTCAGGATATCGGTTTCGGGTTGGCGTAGAAGTAGCGGTTCCTCATTTTGAGGGGAGGAGGTATAAGATGGTGATCAATGTTCGTGCAATCGAACGTTACTGAGAGAGGGAGCTTTGCGATGATTGACAGGAGGATCCAGTCAACGAAGTCTGTCAAAGAAATCGAGGCTCGTGACGCCGACAATTACATAGCCTGGCGCCTTCAACTCAATAATCACGATCATGTGCCGAACTGGATCGGTGCCGTGGTGCTTGTATGGGCAGCCTAGGACTTGTCCTCTTGATATGCATTGTGATGTTCCATACGGCCAATACAATCTAACGTACGAGCATGTAGACCGCAATCGCTACCGCGATAACTACAGTTGGAAGCCAAGATGGCCACCGCGAATCTGCCAATCGATATTAGGTCTTATCTTGCTAGTTTGAGCAGGTTGAAGAAGTGGTTTTGACAACACACCAATGTCGCAAAGAGACTGACGCCGCAAGTCATGGAGGTTAGGTTGAAAGGAATGGTATTTACGGATTGTGAAGGGACAGCCACCTATCAGACCTGGATAATCTGAGTCTATTGCGTCAATGTTCGGCCCTGCATTCGAAGTGCGAAGCAGTAAACCAATAGACGTGACCGGTAAAATAAGTTATTGCTGATGGGGAGGTTGATGACAATGTTATAAGGTGTATTGTATCGTATCGAACTTATGCAAGACTGACAATTTCCAATTTCGCGAATCTCCCATACCCGCCAGCGGCTTGGTCAGCTTGATCAAAGGCGAGGTACTGCGGATTCTGCGACGGCGTGCAGCAAGCGTCTTGCCGCCTTTCCACGTCTCAGGAGACGATAATGGTAGGGGCTTTTGCGGCGAGGAGCGCAGAGCTGCGTCAGGGGTGGCGTGCAAATCGGATGCGTCCATGTTCAGAGCGCTTTTCAAGGCGATTTGTCCGCCTTCGAGCTCCGTCGGCGCTGCGTTCTCGATGCCTGTGTCTTCGAGTTCAAACCTCTCATCTTTTTCGGAAGCCTCCTCGCCAATCCGCTCAAGCTCTTTCGGACTCTGTGGCATGATTGCTCCTTCGGTGAAGACGGGCGGAGAGTGAGGCGTGGTGATGGTAAAGCGCCGGTATATCAGATGTCCGGTGAATTTTGACTGTGCGTACTGATTTGTATACTGGCCGTTGAAGTAGGCTGTTCGTATGAAGGCACTTTTCTGTGTTGGGTGTCAGCATTTGGGGCCTTATATTGGGCTTAGCCCGGCCATATGCACCTTCGCTGGTGGATTGTACCACGCATCCAATGATGTGGCAGCGGTTGCGGACCCGGCATTGTCGGGTCGATACCGGTGATGATTCCAAAGCTCCATAGAGGATATCGGGAGCGCGATAGCGGAGACATTGCTAACGTCTGAAAGACTGAGGCCTGACAAACACGAAGGGCCATTTGAGGAGGTCGAAGATTTGGAGAATCTGCTTTGATTCATGCCCGCTCTTTTGTAAACCGGAGACGTTTCGAGCTCTTCCTCGAAGGTGAATTTGTAATAGGTCGTCCGGCTAACGGCACGGCTTTCAGTTCCTTCGCTTCTGGCGGTATCGTTTTGCGATGTACGTAAGGAGGCGGCTAGAGCTGGATGCATCCTTTCAAGATTCTTTAGCCGGGAAGCCATGTTGACGTTTGTCTTTAGCACTTCCTGCACTAGGCTGGTGAGGTTGCGCATCGAGGCTTCGGCCCAATCTATCGATGTACTAACAACCACAGGTCGTCAGTGTTGGTCGATCGACCTCACGGATCAATTACCCGCTTACCAAGTCAAAATCGTCAGCATGAAATTCAGTGATGCCTTTGAGGCCTGAAGTCGTGCGAGTAGTTTTGAGATAGCAGCCTCCTTGGACGCCCATTTCACTCTGTCTATTAATCGCATGTGCTCCCCTGTCTTTAGCGATTCGAGTGTCTGCTCGAGCTCAGAGAAGATGGAGACACAGTCTGTGAATACAATGATGACCTGCTCAATCATGATGAGAGATCTTCGGGGCCTAGCCGCTTCTTCATTTCCTATTAAGAAACCTTGCAGCTGATGCAGGCACGCATAGATGCCTGTCACTTCCATGAGGACACCGCGTGCGGATGTGGATGCTCCATTTGCACCATCGACGAATGTCTTCAGCAGACGCGAGACTTGTACAGCTGCGGTAGTGATCCCGATTATCGAGGCCGAGACTGACAGAGGGTCCATATCTAATGAGGATCGAGAGTCAAGCAACGACACAAGTCCGAGCGATGAATATGTGAGAAAAGATATTCGTAGACAGGGAATAGAGAAGGATTCTCGCACAGCCTTATAGCCGCCCACACTCCGGCCATCGTGGAGTCGATTAACTCTTTCCTAGCCTGGTGCTGATGACTCGTCCGTGATAGCATGCACAGCAATACTAGCAGTGACCAACGGACAGACCTAATGGCGGAGACGTCAAGCTTGCAGACTGACAGCTTTTCATTGGTTCCCAATGTTTCGACGTCGACCATTCGAGGTTATCTTCTAGCCGCCGGAGCTACGGATCAGTAAGGCGAACCGTGGTTGCCTTGCAGCCTTGTCCTTATCGTGATCGTTTCCCCCACTCCGGGGCAGTGCAACCATGTTCAATGGCTGCAATGTACGTATCTTGCGGGGTAGCGTTCCCCAAACCTGCACCTAAACAAGCGGTCTTTCTAGCGTGCCAACCCATTCTTGTCCCCCACTCCAGGCAAGCTGTCAAGGTAGGTAGCAATTGCAACGGTCCACATCCCTAGCAAAATGACGGAGGTAATAGCAACGGAAACAAAGGCTGAGGTCATCTTTCGGCCATCTTTGGACCCAATGATTTGGTTTGTAGCCTTTGATCGTGCATAAGTACACAGAGTCTCTGCGAACAAGATCGCGACGGCTGCAAATAGTCAGGCTGAACGCTTCGATTACTAAATCTAGCAGAATGAGAAGTGCAGTGCCGCAAGATCCGATACCGGGGCATAACGTGTTGCCGATCGCAAGAAGAGGGTCTACTGACCATGCAAATGACCTCGAATAAGTGGGAACCCACTCAGATGCGGGTTCGGATGACCAATTTACTGGGAAGAGAATGAAAGATGACACTTTCAAGGACGATCAGGCAGATGATTGAGCCGACGATGAGGAGAGCGACGACTTTGAAAGCGAAGGTGGAAGTCAGGACGAAAGTGATAACAATGACGGCGCTAAATGAACAAGGGTTGCTGAAAGTGAGCGTGTAGGCTGTGGTTGTTGGTGCGATGAGACTGAGGCCGTGGTGGTTGCTGCGGCAAGTGGTATGTAGAAAGTATCTGTTGGGCCACTGGGTAAGAATCCATGCGGTTGATTGCGTGATGGTCTGCTCCAGAATCCTTCGTGTCCATTAGTGCTTGCGTTGTGCACAATATCTCCTTCTCGAAGGTGGGATCTGTATGCGAATGAACCCGCCAGAATATATCCAAGTAGTCGTTAGCATCCTCACAAACCATCACCAGTTTTCAAAGAGCAATTCAATTATAATTAGGTCTCAGTCTCTATCCAGAAACGCGAAACGACCATGCGAAACACACGCGCGCGAGGAGCCTCCGCTTGCGTTGCTTTGCTCATGTTGGATTCAAACATCTCCGCTTCCCTTGACCGTTCCAATAATAGCAAGTGCCGCGATTCTCTTGCGCTAAGGGTACAGCTGGGAAGCTTTAAGAGAATCCAACCTGTTCGGTAGTAATACTTCAGTTCGGCAAGAATGGCGGCAAAGAGCTCTCTCCAACCAACTTCGACATCACCATTCGCGTGAAAGAAGACTCCCGGCAGAGCGACGCCATCAAATGGCCTCGAGAAGTCCACAAGATGACTTGGCCCAGGAAAATCCGCTCCATTGTGCATCTGTTTGAGGAGCTTTGCCGTGTCGTCATCTTTTGCTTGGAAGATTGCCCCGGCTCTGTCCACAGAAATGCGATTGTATTCCGTGTGTACGTGGTGATCGTGAAATTGAATCCTCGAGTTTCCATTGAAGCGTTGGGTGGTGGTCATTTCGAACTGTAGCCGGGTGCGGGTGAGGTAGTCTGCGATGCAGAGCTCTTCGACCTCGTGCTTGAAATGTCGGGAGACCCCACGGCATCCTGTCCACAGTTCGACGAGATCCTGGGGCTGCGTACCAAAGCTGCGCAACACGATCCTCCAGATCTCCGGTGGGAAGGCCACCGTACAAGCTGCGGTATGCTCGAATGCCATTGGATCCTAACGGCTAGTGATGGCTTTGTATGTAATCTTCGGGGTTGATGGGGTAAGGCGAAGGGAAGTATCATGGAAAATTGGATTGTCAATGCTGATATCTCTTCTTCAACCCCCCCTTGGTGGGGTTGGACAGCAAATTCATGGGCCTTGCGCTAGTACTAATTAGGATACGCTAATGTATCAATGCATACGCGCAACTGCAGAGTACTAAGCGCTCTGACCGCTCACAAAACAATGGACACAACGACACCCATTCTTGCCATTGTTGGAATAGTCTGCCAACCTGTAAGATTTCTGTATCCTCATTGAGTGCGAGTTGTAAGTCTATCAATCACATGAAAGCGAGGTTGTTTTTCTAAAGGCTTTAAGCTCAGAACACCAGGAGTCGCGCGATCCGTTGTATGCTAGTGTGGATCCAAAGGTTGAGAGTGTGGGACGGGATGTTGAGGATGGGCAGTACATGCAGCCTTGGTACGTACGTTGAGTCGGCTGGGGAATCATGGAGTGATGTCGAGTTTGATCATGGAAGAAACGTAAGTCCGAGTTTATTCATTCTCGTTTGCACAATTATCTACAGGCGTCCGATCAAACGCGAAAGGGTTCCGTGACTTCTACCATACCTGTTCTGCGTGTCCTCAGGGCCTGGTTCCATCCAAAGCGCACAGCTCGTTGGGGCTTGTTGCTTCGCGATTTTCGCGCATACTCGAGGTCTGTCCAACCAAACTGGAATTATAAATGTACGGATTGATTCCTTTTTGTTTTTGGAAGGGTTGATGTAGTCTATCACATCTTGAGTGAAAGGACGCTTAGGCCTGACCTTGTGTTTTTATATTAGCACCCGTGCTATTTCCCATCAAAAAAGTCAGGGCGTCTTCGATCTGCTCCTCTGCCTTTTGCAATCGTCGCTGGGATGTACCTTTGCCGGGTAATATCACCGACTGCGACCATTGCGAGCAAGTAGGACACCTCTGGGCCATCGACCAAGAAGGCGGTTGCTCCGATCTAGGACCGCGAGTGGCCGATTGGAATGAATATGTCGTCGACTTGAACTCGCTCGATCGATACCCTAGCCATCCAGCAACCGATGTCTTGCGTGGCCTCATGCAGAAATTCAACAAACTGGAATAGATACTGGGCGAAACCCAGCACGGCTCCCAGGTCAGCCTTGGCCCTTTGCAATGTCGTATGCGAGATCTACGTACAATCTTGCCGCACTGGGATCATCCACCTATGGCATGAAACAAGCGCGTGAACATCTAGACGAGACGACCATTTATACCTTCTAAGAGATCCGCGAAGGCTGACCTCATCGAACCTATCGTTGCTCTTCTTTTCAACATGCACACACAAACGTGAAAGATAGAGCTTCTATACTTCCTCAACCCAGCCTCGCCACCACAAACCGCCAGTATCTCACTCATGGCCAGCCCATCGGCCCCGCTTCCACCGCCGCCCGTCCAGCAGGACAAGACGAACGGCGCGCCCAATGTTTCGCCAAACGGCCTCCCAAACCTTTTCGAATCGATGCTCCTGCAACTGGAGGATCTCGGCACTTTTCGATCATAAAACTTACCCCTTTCCCCTTTCCCCTCGTCCCCAACCTAAATCTGTATATATCCTTTCGACTGCACGCCCTAAACCCAACCACCTTCCTCTTCAGACGTCGATCGCCTCCTCCTCCTCCTCTGGACCCGCCTCCTCGCCCGCTTGGCCCCGCCCCGCATGCACAGGTTCAAAACGTTCGCGATCATCTGGCCTACGGGAGCCGTATGGCGCGGTTTCCGTGGAGCGAGTACATCCCAAGGAAGTATTGCGGAAGCTAGAGCACGCGAGGAGAGAAGTCAAGGGTGTGAGTGACGAGAGGTTGGGATTGGCTGGTTGAAAGGTATAAGTGGGGCATTGCCGGCGGTGGCGCATATCAATAATCGTCATCCTTCACGTCTTAGGGCGTGAGCAAAGGCATTATAATCCGGTGGGTAAAGCAACAGCGTCGTCGGAGACCTCGGTAGTACTTATTCCACAAATCCCCATATCCGTCGAACTCTTCCTACATCCGTACACACCTTTGCTCCAGACACGTCACATCTTGGATCTGAATGTCGTGCTCGTCTCTTCCATCCATCTATTCATTCATTCATCGCACCAGCAACGACCTTTATCCTCGCCGCGTGGGAACTTTGAATGCGGGGAAAGGAAAGGAGAGTCTATCGTATCCGCTCCAGCGGCGATCGACCGATCGGCATAGATAATCACAAGATGAACCCTCCCCCCTGTCTCTCTCTCTCTCCCTCTCCTATACTCTCTCCCCTCATAAAGATATCCTCATGCCCATCTATACCCCAATATCTACCCCCCCAATCTCACCGCCTCGCCTCCAACTCCCCTCCTCCTTCTTCTTCCCCTCCTCTTCCCCTTCTTCTTCCCCTTCTTCTTCCCTTTCCTCCCCTCCCCCCTCTCCTCCCCCCTCCTCTTTCCCTTTCTTCTTCCTCTCTTCCTTCCTCTTCTTTCTCCTCTCCTCTCTTCCCTTCTTCTTCTTTCTCTTCCTCTTTCTCTTTTCTTTCTCCTCTTCTTTCTCTCTTTCTCCCTCTTTTTCCTCTTCCCCTTCCCCTTCTTCTTCCCCTCCTTCTTCCCCTTCTTCTTCCCCTCCTCCTCCTCCTCCCCCTCCTCCTTCCCCCTCCTTCCACCACAGATATCAACACCCAAGCCAACCCACCCGTGAACCCAACTCCCATTCTCTTAGCCCTGTACAGCAGTGTACCGTTCCATTCCCTTCCATCCCATCCCATCCCATCCCATCCCATCCCATCCCATCCCATCCCATCGCCAAACCATAGACAGCAATCGCCAATCCCACCCCCGAGCAGAAATCCCGACGCATAAAGTATATAAACACAGTCAGTCAGTCAGTCAGTCGATCAGTCAGTCAGTCGATCCAGAATTAAAATGAGAATCAAACCCGGGATCAAGATCGATGAGGATGAGATTTTCGGGTCAGGATGGGGATGAGGATGGGGATGGGGATGGAAGGATTGGCTGGTGCGGTGGCTGCTGGTTTTCGTTGGGGTTGATATTTGGGGGTGGATTGTTAAGGTTGTTGGTGTGGTTGGATGGTTGTGGGGGTGGAAGGGGAGAGGGGGGGGGGAGGGAAGAGGGGGGAAGAAGGGGGGGGGAGAAGGGGGGGAGAGGGAGAGAGAGGGGGGAGGAGGGGGAGGGAGGAGGAGGAGGAGAGAGAGAGGGAGAGGGGGAGGAGAGAAGGGGTAGAAGAGAAAGCTGGAGAGAAAGATAAAGAGAAGGGAGGGAGAGGAGAGAAGAGGAGAGGAGAGGAGAGGAGAGGAGAAAACTTGCATCACTGATCGATCTGAAGAAAGTGTTTCCGGTTTAATTAAGCTATTAGATTGAAATTGCTTTCAACGTGACCACGCTCTCAAGGTCTGTCTAGTGATACCCTCCATCCCTCCATCCAACAAGAATACGGCAAAGGCCAAAAATACAAAAGGGACGACAGGAACACGTTCTAAGAGTTTGCAACAAAGCGGCAAAAAAGACGCAGCATGAGCATTGTAACGCCACCGTGTAAGTTGTAATCGACGAGCCCATATACACAAATGCATGCATCGATCCTTTGTACCATCGTTCGTTTTCCATCTTGTTGACCTCGTCCGCTCGTCTGCCTCGGTTCAAGCCAAGGCCTCGCGCAAGAACTCGGTCAAACGATCCACATACGGCGCTTTCATCATGCTGAAGTGATTCCCGGCCATCTGCCGACACATGATCTTCTTTTCGTCCAAGAATTCCTCCCAAAGATTCGTTCCGAAATCGGTCCTGTTCTCCAGCAGCCATTGCGCGTGTCCGTACGGGTAAGGGTCCGGCCTCGGGTCGCTTTCCTCCTTGCACACGCCGTCTTCGCACCAGATGGCCATGACTTTGGGGCATTTTTCCATGGGGATGGGCGCGGCGTCGTAGGTGGAAAGAGCGTGGACGGAGGCTGCGAAATGGGGAAGGAGCCAGGGTGGGAGACGATCGATTGCGCCGTCGCCTTCCCCGAGAAGACCGATGGAGCCGAAGAAGCGGTGCAGGGTTCCGGGTAAAGGTTCGATGATCAATGGGCAGGGCGTGTCGATGAAGACGAGCGTTTCGACCACGTCACCCATATCAACTAATTGGCGCACGGTCTCAAAGGAGATGACCCCGCCAGCGGACCAGCCTCCGATGTGATAAGGTCCCTTGGGTTGGCGTCGCTTGATTTCCTGGATAAACTTGGTCGCGATGCCGACGACGCCGCACATGTATTCCTCGGGTGTCTTGCAATAGGGAGAGGTGAGGCCCCAGACGGCGAGTTTGGGGGAGATCTCGCCGAGGAAGACGTACGAAGTGGGTGCGCCTCCACCGTCAGGAACGAGCCAGAAGCTCTTTTCGGCGGTTTTGGGAGAGCCTTGGAGGAGAACGGAGCTAGCGAAGCGGTCCGGAAGGGAGGGTTTCTTGGCTTTTGGTGTGCGCATGGTGGGTGCCTTGACTTGTTTCGCCAGCTGCATCACGGGTGCTTCCTGTTCGGGGGTTGGTCGCCTAGACCTTGCCTGGGGCTTTGGTGGAGGAGGGCCGATATGGAGAGCTGTCTCGATGGCTTTGATGGTTTGATTGTCCACCAAGAAATCGGCTGGCAGGGAGAGGCCAGCCTTCTCCCTTAGCATTCCCAGGATGGATAGACTCATCAGCGAGTCCATACCCAGAGCACTCAAGTCATCAGCGGCTGAGAGTTCGGCAATGTCGACACCCATCTCTTCCGAGATCGTTTGCCGAATGATCATGGACAACGAATCCGAGTCCGATGGGGTACCTGGCGAATCCGGAGGGGACAAGGGCGTTGCGGCAGACCCCTGCGAGGACATATCATCGGAGTCTAATGATGGAGTGGTGCTGCCAGATGAGTACTCCGGTTCTGCCTCAATGCTCTGGGAGGGACCAAACTGAAGCAGATGACCCTTGAGGGCGCCAACGGTTGGGTAGTCGACGAACAGCGAAGACGGTGCATCAATCTCCAGTTCTTCACGTATCCTGCCGCTGATCGAAAGTGACATCAAAGAGTCGACACCCATGTTGGCAAAGTCAATTCCATCGGCAAGCTCGTCGACGGGTATGCCGACTTCCGAGGCGATGATATTCAGGACATGGGTCGTGACTGAAGGACCTGCCTTCTTTGGCATTTGCACCTTTGTCGGCGCGGACTTTTTGTCCGGTTTCGCTGCGATCGATTTGGGAGCTGGTTTCGCCGCGACAGGGGCTTTCTGCACGGCCAAACCTCTGGGAGGGAGGAAGGTGTTGAGTAGTGTGCGTGGAATGCACTGGAACTTCAAAGATCCGCACATGCCAATGATCCTGTCTCCATCAAAGATGTAGACGTCACCTGCTATCATGTTGCCCGGCAGCGGCTGCATCTTGACATACGAACGGTAGGTCTTGTCGGCCTTGATAGGCTCAGCAAAGCGCATTGACTCCCATCCGTGCGAAACGTAAACCTGTTTGCTGGAGTCCACGGCATCATTGGCATTGACGATGAAGCCAGCAAGATGACAAAGACTGTCGATCCAGTAAGGGCTGCATACGAAGTTCCCGTCAGACTCTTTGGTTTGAAAGGCGATGTGAGCAGTAGCCTCAAGCTCAGGGCTGTCAAGGATGACTTCTTCCATTCCTCTGTACTTGGAGTCGTAGTCGACGAAAGCCCCAAAGAGCTTGTAGGCCATTCCGCGAAGCATGCGATGAGCTTTCCCGGAAGAGGCGTCCTTCTTCAGGCTTTCGATGCGCCCCTTGACGAGGTAGGCGTTTCGTTGCCATTCAGCAAGCCATGCAGTGCCTGAGCCATAATCGACAAAACACTTGGCGTGTTGAGTCTCGCTCTTACCGGTGCCGCTGGCAAAGACAAGATTTGCCCGACCTGTGGTAATGTCCGGTGTAGTGGCAGACAACCGAAGCGTTTGGCCTTTGCCACCATCATTTGCGATGAAGGGCTTGAATACCTCCATGTGGCAGACATTCATGTGGACGGTCTCGGTATCCGGTCGGACAAGCTTGTACAAGTGTTCTGCCACTGTCATTGCCATATCACCGTAAATCGATGAAGGACAAAGTGCGGTGCCATTCACCACGTGGCCGCTTATGGCAGCAAGCAGATCCGGGCGAGAGATGTCCGATTCGATCACGACTGTTGCCTTGTCTTGCTCCACGACTTCTGAGATGACCTTGTGAACAGTCGTCGTCGATAACTTTGGTGCTGCTTCAATCGCAGGCAATGCCGCGAGCCCCAAGACTTGGCCTTTGTGCAAGTTCCAGTCCCCGGTATACTGGATCCAGTAATTCTTGTTATCAAAGGCGTATGTCGGAAGATCCAACATTTGGACGCACTCAATGAAGTCACGGTGATACTCGTTCCAGTCGATGGAAATTCCGTTGGTATGCAGCATCGCCAAGCTGTCCGAGAGAGTCTTGTAAGGAGCTGTGCCTTTGCGGAGCGATGGTGCGGTGAGAACATCATGACCAAGCTCCTGCTTGACAAAACTCATGCAGACTGGATGAGGGCCCAACTCGACCCACACAGTCTGATCGTTGATGAGACCAAGCTGCTGAGCTGCCGCCATGCCTCCGACAAAATTGACTGTCTCCCTAGCATGCCTGCTCAGGTAGTGCTCGTCAATGCTGTGACTCTCACTCAGGACACTCGATAGTAGTGGCGATATGACAGGAATTTGCGGCTTGTTGAACGTCACGGATTTGGCCTTGTTCTCAAAGTCGACGAGGATAGGATCCACCTGGGATGAGTGGAAGGCAAATTGAGTGTTGAGTTTGGTGCACTTGGTACCTTGATTTGACAATTTCTCTGCGACTTGGTCAATGTCGTTGACGGTGCCACCGAGAACAGTCTCTCGGGCTCCGTTGACGCAGGCAACCTCAACGCCTGGGTAGTCGGCAAATGACTCTTTGAGCAAGCTGGTGGCAGACTTGGTGGCGAGCATAGCGTGTGAATTGGCAGTGCACTTCTCTTGCAGAAGCTTCGCTCGCTCGCCGACCAGGTAGATCGTCTCCGAGACGGACAGAACACCTGCTGCGTTGAGGGCAGCATATTCTCCCAAGCTGTGGCCAATGACGACGTCTGGCTTGACACCCCATGATGCCCACAGGCGTGTTAAGGCCATCTGTATGCAGCTCAGACCAACTTGAACAATCAACGGCGACAAGTCTTGGGCGTCGATGTCGCCACTCAGGAGAGAAAGGAATGATGGGAAGCCCAAGTTTTGAGTAATGTTATCGAAGCTTTCGATGTCGGAGCGGAAGTGTTTCGAAATGTCATAGAGCTGTTTGCCCAAAGCTGTGTAATGGGAGCCTTGACCTGTGTATGCGAATGCGATGGTTGGAGAGACGCTGGATACAGGCTCAACTGCATCGTCAAGCTTTGAAGCTAAGATCTCTGATGCTTTGCTCAAGCTGTCGCAAGCGAAGGCAATGCGATAGTTGTGCTGAATGCGGCGAGCGGTGGTGGTATATGAGAGGTCCGGAAGACGGGTGTAGGGGTTGTGCTTGATGAAGTGCACGAGGTTCTTGGTATTCGCACGGAGGGCGGACTTTGATTTCGCTGAGACTGTGATGACATGGTCACCGCGACCGTCGTCTTTGAGAGCTGGCCGAGCCGGCGCGTCCTCCAAGAGCATAGCAGTATTGCCACCAGCAGCACTGAAATTATTGACGAAGATGAGCCTTGCGGAACCATCGCTTGAGGCTAATGGCGTCGGCTTGAATGCAATATGCACATTGCGTGCGTTCAGATCTTGGGGGAAGCTTTGGTTGATTGTTTTCTTGATCCCGCAATGAGGTGGGATCTGGTTCTTTTGCAGCATGAGGAGGCATTTGATCATGGCAGTCACGCCCGATACGGCCTCTCCGTGACCGACATTGGCCTTGACGGAACCAAGATGAAGGGGCTTCTTCCTCTGGCCTGTGCGAGACGCAGGCGCAAAGACGTTGGTGACAGAGCGCATTTCCGTGCCGTCCCCTGCTTGTGTACCAGTGCCATGCATTTCAACGTAGTTCACATCGTGTGGGTCTTTTCCAGCGTCATCCATGACCTTTTTGAACAGTACTTCCTGCGTGGGTGCGTGAGGATGGGTGATGGAGATTGCGTTAGCGGAGTGGTTCGTGGCAGTCTCGAGAATGACACCCAGGATGCGATCATTGTCGGCAAGGGCGTCGTCGAGTCGTTTCAGGATCACCGTCCCAATACCGTCACCGCGGCAATCTGTAGCAACGTGTTAGTGGTATGCGTCGAGATATTCGGGATCCGGAGTATGCTTACAGCCATCTGCATCGTTATCAAAAGTCTGGCAGTTGCCTGTCTTGGACAAAAACTGTCCTCGGCTGAGACCAGCAAAAATGTCGGAGTTGGTCATCACGTTGAGGCCGCCAGCGACCGCGGTGTCACAATCACCGGCCCACAGAGAAGTACATGCCAACTGCATAGCTGCGGCACTGGAAGAACAAGCGGTATCAACGCTGAAGCTGGGACCACTGAACTTGAAGTAGTAGTTTATCCTTCCCTGGAGTACTGGTTAGCGAATTGGTGGGACAAGGCATTAGGATCATGGCTTACAGGTGCGAATGCTCGGACTCCGGCAGTGATAAAGTAGGTATCAATGTCTTGCGCTTCATTGATTTCTCTCCAGTCGTCACTCGTCTGACCGTAAAAGGTTCCAATTCGCTCCAGCCTGGTAGATGGGGATCTGTTGGGTACATAGCCGGCCATTTCGAGGGCCTCGTATGCGCTTGCCAGACCCAAGCGGTGCATCGGATCTGTTTGAGTTGCCTCACGAGGAGACATGTTGAAGAATCGAGGATCGAAAAGTCCAGGCTCGTCGATGAAGCAGCCAAAAGGGGTATGACTTGTATTTCGGATTTTGCCTGTCGGATCATAATGAGTGTCCACATTGAATCGATCCTTAGGTATCTTTGAACAACACCGTCAATAGCCATCGTTATGGGTTTATAGGGATACCATACCCTTTTGTGAACATCCAGACCAGCTTCAAGCAAATCCCAAAACTTTTCATGGTCGGCTGCGTTAGGGAACCTGCCCGCCATACCAACAATGGCAAGCTTTGGTCTCTTCGATGTTCTTGGCGCATCGCCGAAGGCTGAAGGCGCCTCGGATAGTTTGGCTGCCAGGTCTTCATGTAGAGTCACTTTGAAGTCCTTCTCGGACTCCATCGCTTTTGCGAACATACTCTTCGAGTTGCTAGGCCCGAACGAGATGATGTTGCATTCCCCACAGTCCGTTTCCGTGGCCAACTTGGTGCACCCATCAACAATCCGTTGAATACTGAGAGTCTCCGTCAGAATATCTCGAATGACAGCAGTAAACAGTGTTGGCGCATCGAGATTTCTGTCGAAGCATACACCGCTGCTTGTCGACATCAAAGGTAGGGCTAGACTGTAAGCGGAGAGTAGATCGGAAGTCTTTGAGTCTTTCGAGTGTAGGATTTGATCTATGTCGACGCCTTTGTGTAGGTGTGGTGCATGATAAGGTCCGTAGACTGGTATCGCTGCATGATTCGAAGTCAACGCCGAAGATGTCTGAAAGAGTTGCTTCAATGTTGTTGGCGGTCCGCTTATCGTCACAGAATCGGCACTGAAGGCAGCAACATATGCTCGATGAGACTGCGGTATCGTCTAAGGGATTCCGTCAGTCTAAGTTGGTCTAGCGATCCTTGATCCTTGTCACCTTATTTTGATGAAAATCGTCCAAAGCATCCTGTGCTTCGGGCTTTGTCTTTCCAGGGACGATATAAGACCAGCTGGAGTCATCATCATGAACAGGCGACATCTCGATATTACTGGCTGCGGTCTTGACGTGCAGACCAAGTCGAAAAGCGATCAAGACGGCCTCCACCGCCAAAGGCATGAGAGCAGGTATTGTTGGTGATAAGGCCACCACCGCTGCAGCCAGCAGTCCAGTGGACAGACCGACAACACACGATTCCAAGCCCATGCTATCCCGACCACGGATGCCCCCAACATATCTGATGGGGTTAGATGTTTGGTCAGTAGATTCAAGGAAGATCAAACTGACTGAGTATACCGCGCTAGTTGGGAGATACATAATAGAGCGTTCTGCACCCCCTCATGGGCATCGCTGTTGCTGGCACGGTCATTGAGCTCGTCGATGGTATTAAAGGCTGGGATGCTTTTTCGCTCCAAGGGGGAGAGTTGGGAAATTTCATGTCTGAGAGCATCGCTGCATCTCTGCAAAAGAAGGCCGAGGAAGGGGTTGCCTCTACTCTCGACCAGTTGTTGTTGTATCTGGGCACGATTGACCAATGCTTGGTTCCCAAACAAGAACACTCGCATCTCCGTCATCCTGGCGGTGTGCAGGAAAGAGGTGGCAGGTAGTCAGTATGGAAGGCTCAAGTCAAACGTTCTCCTGAGGAAGCTGCATCTATAACGGCTTTTACATAGGGGGCTTTTGCCTCCGCTGCTCTCCGACTCATGACACAATAATATCACATGCAGACTGGTAGAGGCTGGCAACACGAGATTATCGAGGCATTGCCCAAAATGGCATTGATAGGTAAGCATCATGGATGCCATTGTCTATCGTTTTTCCATCACCATCATCCTACAGTCCTTTCCTCTGGGTCCTTCCAGGCGCTTTCGGCGATGGAAGCAGGTTCCTGCCCAAGGCCAGGGAGGAAGCATGGCGGATATTGGATCGCCGAACGCTGTGTGTGACCGACGAACGATGTGAGCTGAACCTTACATGTGGTGAGCATGTTGTGTACCCGGGATGAAATGACGAGAGTGGAGAACGGATCTGAGCACCAACGAGACCGAGGGTATTTCGGACTGACGGGCGCACCAACCGGATGGACATTGGGGGAGATCAGGGGTCTAGAACGGTCAAAGTGGAAGATGAACGGTGAGTGCCTTAGCCGTTTGACCGTTTCTCGGTCGTCGCTCCACCTTTTGCCTCTTTGCTTGTGCGTGTTTCTATTTTGGCAGTGTTGGAAAGAGAAAGAGAAAGAGATGATGATGATGATGATGATGGATGATGATGGATTAATTTTGTATTGACCGAAACGTGCTTCTGAGCATGGGACACAAGCCTTTTTATCACTAAGCTCGCGCACCTATGGTTACGCGATAAGCGACCCTGGTCGAAGAGACTACTTTAGCAGGATCGATGCATGATTGGGTCTGGAGTGTAAAAGTAAAGTGTGAAGTATGCAGTGTGCATTGGGCTGGGAAGCGATGGATGTCCAATCATACCGCCCTGTGCTGACTGTACTCGCCATGATCCGTAATATTTCAACGTATCAAATTGCGGGATGGAGTATGTCTCATGGTTCTATGACATTACCGGGACATATTTAATACGCAGCCGGATGCATGACGTGCATGAGTTGGGTGGGAAAAAGCGCCAAGATGCCACGGGGTCCGGGCAGAATACACTAAATCATCCTTACGCCCAAAATGATTATTACATGTACCTTACCTCATCCTGTTAGTCCAATCGGCCAATAGCTTCACACGCGTCACAGGTACCTTTAAAGTAAAGTAATGTAAGGGAGGTATTGAGCTATTTGATTTGGTTAGCTAAGCATGCGTCTAGGTCTGAGCAGACCTTTTCACAGAAATACCGATACAATTTTTTCCGCTTGTTCAGCACAGACCATGTCCCTGATGCCTAGGCAAAGGAAGCAGAGATAGAAGATAGAAAGATGTACAGTATGTACATGTAGGGGATACCTTAGAGATATGTCAAATGGTCCAACCATGCAAACTCAATTCTAAACCATGACCCCTGAACCCTGAACCCGGAACCCTTTTTTTTTTCTCTTTCCAATCCTCGCCACCATCAATTCAACAATCAGCCCCCACTCTCTGATCTCTGAAATCTGGCAGTGAAAAAGCGCTAGAGTGAGCCCAGGGTTTCATTCCATGAGATCTCAGATCTATCCATGCACTTTAACCTTTTAGACATCATCTGCCAGTCTTATCCTATCGTCAATAAGGCTTAGTGACCGTAGTCTAAAGTCGTCGGGACTTTGCATCTCAATTTTATTCGATTCAATTCATCTTCCTTTTCCTTTCACCCAACCATCCCTGATTTCTAGTCTGCCCGTACCCTTAATACTTATTTTTCTTGACACCTTCCTCCGCTTCCAGTTCATAATCCTACCGGCCTGGAGACAGACACTATTTTCATCACCGTGCATGGGTCCATAATATCCCTCGTATCCTCTTTCATCCGCTCAGTAATCCGGTGAACGGGCAAGAACACGTATCCGGTGGTCCACGTACTTTCGCACGAGTAGAACCCGCCCTTCTTCCCGGATGACCCGATACTAAATGTTCCTTCCTTTGGTGTCAATCCTGCATCCAAGGGTCCATGCTCCATCGCTTTCCATTGGCTCTATTGGACATACTTCATTAAGCCTTTTCTTCCCCCGACTCCACTTTCCTGCATAACGACAGCGTGGGCTCGCAACATAAAACGCTTTTCCCTGCTTATTCGCCCAATGCAGAGGCGCCCATGAAGTCATCCTCCGTCCATGCAAAAAGACAAAAACAAAAAAAAAACAAAAACAAAAAAGAGAAAGAAGATAGGCGACTTTTTGGGACCTCCCTGTTACTCACTAGACCCATCGACCTCGTCTCCGTGCGATCGTGTATTACAAATGTCCGCTTGTGGAGGGCTTCCATTCCAACGATTCGTATAATTCGTATCACTCGTACGACTCCAATGAATCCAATGAATCCAATGAATCCAATGCGATTAGCCTAACATGCCACTTCCCAGGAGGCCCGAGGTCTCGGCATCGACTTTACCATTCTCCTTGATTCACCTTTTTCACTCAGTCTCATTCATTTATCTACTTATCTATCATCATTGTCATTTCCTCCATTCTACCAACGTCCAGACCCTTGGCGACCACAAGTCCACAATCGCCAATCCACCATTATACTTTCTACAATCTAAACAATGTCTATCCATCATAGATGATGATGATGATGAGTTCTATATCCCATCTCTACAGCCGCGCCCCTACCATTACTACCCAACTACTCTACAATTGCTTAGCGCCTGATGAATCTCGTTCGGCACGACAAGGGGCCCAAGCCCTGTAGATCAGATCCCATCCTAAAAACCTTTCCGTCTTCCCCAGCTCCAAACTATTCTAGAAATACTCATCTACTCCGGAGCAAACTCCTACACCCATTCCTGCCATGCCTGACCAATCCGAGCGCCCTGCCACCCCTCCCAAGCCTCCCAAGCTGAGAGAGTCCTGCGACAGCTGTCTCATCGCCAAAGTCAAGTGCAGCAAAGCACGACCGTTATGCGGACGATGTCTGGCAAACGGCGCCCCCTGCGCCTACAGTCCGTCGTCGAGGTCGGGCAAGAGGAATCGCAACTCAGCCGGCGTCACGAAACCCATCAACACCACGGCGGCGCAGAACAACCGCAACAAAAGCCTCGAAAGCCCACGGAGCGCCGCCCTTCCACAGTCAGCCTCATATCTCACTCGCTTGATGTACCCTTTGCTCGACGATGCAGATCGATCTCTCCTCGACCCCAATACGGGACCCTTGGGTGGCACCACATCGCCTCTCCTGCAAGTCAACCCGAGCATCGCAGCCCCCATGATTGATACCAACACAACGAACGGCGAAGATGTGTTCGACAGCTCCGACTTCCTTCCCACGCCACCCTTTCACCATGGAGATTTCATGGATTTTATGCACATCTCTCAATCGAACCCCTTCGACTTCTCCACCGCTCCGGTGTCCCCGCGGCCGAGTCCTCCCGACCACATACCCAGCAGCCCACCATGGACGACGAAAGAGAACCCGTACCTACGACACAATGCTTACCAAAGTCCCCTCGACATGATCCCCATGAACCACGCGTCGAGCTCGCACACCACCCCACGCCATCCACCTCCACCCCAGAGCAGCACGAGCAATTCCAGTCTGAACCAGACCAACGGAGAAAGAGCACAGACGTGCGACTGCTTCGCGGCCTGCCTCTCGGTCCTACAATCCCTACACAACCACTCGGCCCTGCTGTCGTCCACGCAACAAGGCTCCCCCCCATTCGACATCGTCCTGAGCATCAACCGCGAAGCCATGGAGACGTGCTCCACCATGCTCGGATGCGCCAACTGCGTGTCCAAGAGCGGTCGGAGCATCTCGACCATGATGCTCGCCACCATTTTCGGCAAGGTGATGTCATTGTACAGGGCGGCCTGCTTCCTCCGGTTTGGCCCCTCGACTAGCATGCAGGCCACGGCCCAGCTGGCGTTTGGCGCCTATACCGTCACGGGGGAGAACCGGCAGCTGCTCGAGATCGAAATCCTCCTGCTCGAGCTGCGCAAGGTCGAGTCCATCCTCGCCGTCTACTCGGAACGCTTCCGCAACGCTCAGGCGGAAAAGGACGACGAGACGAGCGTGTACAACGCCCTGACCGCCTACCTGGACAAGAACTTGCATTACATTGTCGATTTCCTGCAGATGCGCAAAGGTGGCGTGGCCAAGTGATTTGCGGTTTTCCGACACAAGTCGTTCCGTGGCATGCTACGATTAAGTGTTGCACGACTATATAACGGTATTAATGATAATTTTAATGCACTTGTTTTTTTCCTCTCTCTTTTTTTTCGGTGTTGCATACAGCGAGCATACGAGCATGGTTATGGGAGGAATAGATTTAGAACCTCGATCAAAAATCATATCACTTCACAATCAACTCTCCATCATCGCATCCCTGCTCTTCTTTACCGATCCCCAATATCCCCAGCCCCCAACCCCCCTCACTGCCCCGACCCCCCCGAAATGGTGATGATTTGACCTGCCCCACACACGTTAGCCCACATCCACACCCCCCAAAACCATCTCCAAAACTCACCATTCACCCACCCGCCATCCTCCCCCGCCAGGAACGCCACCACCCTGGCCACATCCTCCGGCACCGCGCACCGCCCCAACGGACAATGATCCGCCATAGCCCGCTCAATGCGCTCCGCGCCCCACTCCCCCGTCGCGCCCGGGATATACTTCCACGCCACCTGGGCGAACATGTCGCTCTTGACCCCCCCCGGCGCGACCGCATTGACCGTAATACGTTTATCCCCAAAATCCTTCGCGAAGCTCTTCGTGATGCCGTTGACGGCGCTCTTGCTCCCCGAATACAGCGCGTGGTCCCCGACCCCGATCAGCCCGGCCGCGATGCTCGACATCAAAATCAACCGGCCCCCGCGCTCGCAGTGCCGGTACGCCGCCTGCCCGACGAAGAACTGCGCCCGCAGATTCAACCCCATGACCGTGTCGAAGCGGGCCTCCGTCACCTCGGCCGTCCGGTC